GTGTTTTTGTCTTTCTCACAGGAAAATGACACGCATGAACATTATTTAGCTTATGAATTTATCTTTGTTTACTTTCACTTATTTTTATATTTTGAGACATGGCTTTCCCTTTGTGAACTGGGGAGTTTGTGCCCAGTCCCCACCCAGCAATCAAATTATTCCACAGATAACTGCTCAGTTTCATTCCACATATCTCATTTAGGAAACTCTGTGACTTATTCCTAGTTCTACCACTTAGCATTTGCCAGAGTCCCTCTGAGACTTATCTGTAAAAATGGGGATGATAATATCCATTTTAGAGGTTGTTGGAACAAACAAATGACATCCGTTTTGTGTAAGTACTATGTAAACTGTAAAGCACCAAACATATGTGTCCTGATAGTCAGATGTTGTATTAAAATACTGGAAATATAAGATGTTCTGAGAAAGGCAGGCAGTGGGACTCACTAGGAAGCTCATGACTCTTGAGTCCATTTCAAGAGACAACAGAGACTAAAAGAAAAGGGAAATAAATTATTAAAAATGTCTGAGGCAGAAGGCAGAGTCGCCAGGGAGAACAGTGCAACAGGTTTAGTGGCGTCTTCCTTCGTATTCCCAGAACCCTGTGCAACCTGCTATTTTGACTCCTATCACGTTGTCACACATATTTATTTGCCTTTCCTCTCCCTGTCCAGCATCCTGCGAACAACGTGAGATTTCCAGGAAGAAGGTTCTATCAGGCAGGCACCTTTGTGTCTCTAGCACTTAGCTCGGAGTCTGCTAAGCACCAGCAGCCTGCTAGATTAATGTCACCTAGTGTGATAGATAGAATAAGGTGACACCCCCCCTCCCCGCCACACACACACTCCAATGCCCGCATCCCAATACCGGACACCTGTGAATATATTACCGTATATGGCAAAAGAGACTTTGCAGATGTGATTAAAATGAAGATCTTGAAATGGGAAGATTATCCTGGATTGTCTAGATGGGCCCAATGTAATCACAAGGTCCTTATAAAAGGAAGGGAGAAGGTCAAACTCCTTTTTCTAAGGAGATATGATAATGGAACCAGAGCTCAGAGTAATGCACTCTGAAGATGGAGGAAAGGGCCACAAGCCAAGGAATGCTAGAATCTGGAAAGGCAAGGAAACGATTCTGCCGTGAAGCCTACAAAAAGAATGTAGCCCTGCCAGTACTGTGATTTTGTACTTTTGACCTCCAGATGTATGAGAATAAATTTGTGTGGCTTTAAGCCACTAAATTTGTTACAGCAACAGGAAACTAATAGACTTATATAAAAAAAAATAATTGAATAACTGTCATTTAAATAAATTAATGAGAAAATAAATGAATAAACGAATGAAAAGAACTTTAGATAGAAAGTGGAAAGGCTTAGGTTCTGATCTCAACTTAGATAATAATCAGTGGGTAACTTGGGACCTATCATGTAATCTCTCAGTATCCCTCAGCATAAAGAGCTGAGGCCATGGAGTCAGACAGACTAGGATTCAAATCTCTTCTAGGCTATTTCCAGGCTGTGCATCTTTAGGCAAGTACTCACCTCTCTGAGCCTACGTCCAAATTTGTAAGATAGGGATAGCGAAAGTACCTCCTGTACAAAGTCGTCGTGGGGGCTGAATGAGCTACAATCTAGTCACATTCAATGGGACTCTGAACTAGGTAAATTTGAAATTGTAGTCACATAAAAATGTTATTAATGTCACTTCATGCAGAAACACTGAAGTCATGTAAATTCTCCAAATTAAAAGATGAGTCGAGAACTGCACAATGGCAAAACTGGTAAACTCTAAACTATCGACTGCCACATGGTGGGTCCACCTCATCCTTTGGGAGAATTCATGTTGAATTATGCAAGTTATAAATTATACTAGTAACAAATTATGAGAGATCTTCAGGAACACACCTCTTGAACAAAATATGACCACGCTTTAATGCAAAACAATTAGCATGGGCCTGGAACAAAGAAAGCTATTACTATGCTATTATTACATTAGCTCAATGATAAAAGCCTCAAAACAAACACTTCCACAGTGGAAAATGAAACAAACTCAGCTTTCCTATGGGCCTATACTTTACACAGGCCTCTGGCTCCTGTCAGAGAAATCTTGCTGTTGGAAAATCTGAGTCAGGTGTGCTAATAACATCCCACATTATGAAGAAATAAATCTCCCGGTTCTCACCTGAAACACAAGATTTGGCTTCAGGTAGGTATTAACTCTGTGCTACACTCTATCATCACGTACCTCTTGCACAGCCTATTTTGCTACTGTCAGCCACATTTAGAATATCAGAATTTGTGAGCTGGCAGGGACCTCCCTGGGCCTCAGTGCTACCTACCAAGACTTCTCTTTTTCTTCTCTCTACTCTCGTTTCTTGAATCCCCAGAGAACAAGGTTGTGTCTAGTAAATACTACAAGCTCAGTAAATATCTACTGAATGTGTAAATGACCTATGGGTCATGTAACCCATGTCTATCTCCTACTTTCCAGATAATGAGCCAGAGGTCAGTTAGAGCAATGACTGAAAAATCCCTTTTTGTAGTATTAATTCCTCTTGCAGCAGCAGTCCCCAGACTTTTTGGCCCCAGGGACCGGTGCTCTTATGAGAATCTATTGCCTGATGATCCGAGGTGGAGCTGAGGTGGTGATGCTAGCACTGGGGAGCGGCTGCAAATACAGATTAAGCTTCACTTGCTTGAGGCCGCTCACTTTCTGCTGTGTGGCCTGGGCCACTGACCATATGGGTCTGGGATCTGAGGGTTGGGGATCCCTGCCTTTGAGGGAAGAGTTGATTTCCTAAATAGACTGGGTCATAGAGGAAAACAGTTTTAAAACACATTTTTTAAAAGTGTGTCTGTCCAAGTAGCTCCTGGCTTCACAAAATGAACTCTGATGATGACGTTAAGTGTCTACACCACAGATTTGACTAACAAGTGATAGAGAGATCTGAAAAAAATGATCAAAAGAAAATAAGAACCTGGATGATTCTTAAGGAGGAGATTTTAAAAAGCACAATAGCAATGCTGAATTATTAAGTTCTAATTGAAGACTGGTATGACCTGTGAGGGGGAGCAAATTACTTATGTTTCAGATTCATATGACTCTTTTAGGCTTCATAGAACTTAATGCAGGATCAAGTAGCCTTTTGTTTTTACTTAACCTCAATTTTCTATCAAAGCAGATACAATGCCAGGAAAGACTCAGGGCTAGGAGAACTGAAGTCCTTACCTTAACTTTAAGAGACCTCACATCAGGAAAAGCAGAGCGTGTATTCCCTATCTATGTAAAGACCATCTCCTTAAGAAAAATCTAAATCCTTTCACAAGAAATGGATTTTACTGATTTTTCTATTGTCTTTATGGTGGTAACTTTAATCTCCTCTGGGGCAACTTAAGTCAACTCTTTTCATTATATTCACTGGAGATGGAGAACGGCTGTCCCTTTGTCCCAAGGTAGTCCTGTATATGTTTCAAGAGTCAACTACTGAGGACATAAACTTCTTAAGGCTAACTTTTCCTAGATTTTTTAACTTTGTATGATATCGTGACTTTTATGATCAGATTCCTCCCAATCTTTTTCATAAGAAGTTGCATTGCACAGCAACCCAACCCGTGAATTCAGGGAAGCTAGTGTGAAAATATCTTTACCAGCAGGGTTCCTATGCTTGCCTCCTCAAACCCAACTTGTTTTTTAGCCCGCAAATACCAAGAGCTGCCCAGCAATTACCTCACATTTCTGCTCTTTTCCTTGCTTTCTGTAGATTTTTTAGCTCTCCATGTATAGTTGTGCAATGGATACTAGGGCTCTATTTGTGATTTAAGTGATTTTCATTGAAACTCCTCAATTTATCTATATAGTGTGCCTATGCTCTATACCTGCCAGAGCCTTCTCATCTGTGTGGCCAACCTGGGTCATACTCAAGTTGTCCTGCTTCCCAGCATGGTCACTTTGCTAGTATTAAAGAGCCATGGAATAAGGCCTATGGGAAGATGACAATTTGTTACTTCATTGACCAGTTACTCTCTTTAGACCTCTCTAGATTTCACATTGCCTGAGGGGCAAGGCCATACCCATAAGCACAGGATACAAGCTTGACCTCATCCAGCTCTTATACATTCTCAGACTCAGTTATACTTTTTCTCATCTGACCATTATCTGGCTACCCTGAGCATCTTATTCTCCATGAGCCTGCCATGCAAATTCACACCACTGCCCCTTCATTTAGGCTTCCCCTCTGCCTCCAATGTCCTTCTTCTTATTTTCTATTCTTCAGGCCCACCTCAAATGTCCAACTGATGGGAAGTATTCCTGTCTGGAAGTATTCCAGACAGGTTGAGTCACTTCCCCCACACCCCACCTTGTTCCCAGAGAATGCTGTAGATACCTCTTATAGTTCTGATTGCAGAGAACTGCAATATTTTCGATGGGTCTCTCTGTTTCACTGCAAAGTTATTTTTTACATCTTCTTAAAAACAAAATCTATAATTTCTTTCACAGGAGTTCAAGAAATGAGTGAGTTATAGATACAGAGAACATTTTGAGGGTTGCTAGATGGGAGTGGGGTTGAGATGGGTAAAAAAGGGGCAGGGATTAAGAAGTACAAATTGGTAATTACAAAACAGTCATGAGCATGTAAAATATAGCATAAGGAATATAGTCAATAATATTGTAATAACTATGTATGGTGTCAAATGGGTATTAGATGTACTGGGTGATCACTTCATAAGTTATATAAATGTCTAATCACTATCTTGTACACCTGAAACTAATATAATAGTGTATGCCAACTATAATTGAAAATAAATTATTTTTAAAAAGAAATGAATGAGTTAAATAAACATGTACATGATTCTTCAAACAGAGTAATTATATAGCTCTGAGAATCAGGATCTGGATCATACTTGCTTATTTACCTCTGGGTTAGGGAAGACAGAGCTAGAAAATTAAGAGAAAAACAAGCTGACCATTACCCAATCAAGAGTAAGAAACATGGTGTACCTGATAGACCATTATACTAACAGTTTCTTCTTTTTTCTGCTCTGTAGATCCTTGACTCTGCAATAGATTTCGTACTGTTTCTTCCATCCTGAAAAAAACAAAAAAATAAAAATAAATTTTTAAAGAAGGTTTCCTATTAACATGAGTCTGTTCTAGTTAGTAGGAATCATTCTTCAATGTATATTTCCTAAGCTTAAACCTGAAAATTTCTTTTCTCTTCTCTTGCCTTCATCCCCTATATCAAGAGTCTGTCATAAAGTCCTTTAAAATCATTTTTCAGAATGTCTCTGAGTTCTCTCTTTCTTTTTACCACTTAGGTCCCTGTTTATGTACTCATGAAAACATCTCCCAATATCCTTCTCCATTTTCAATTGTTCCCTTTTAATTTGACGCAGTGTCACCACATTAATCTTCTTGATACCACTTTGATTTTTTAAAATCAATTCTCAAAGTTGACAAATATCACATGAATGTATTTTCACCATATACTGTGAAGTCTTCCCATGGTGGTCTTCTCATGCCAGCACACGGAGATCTACTTTATTCTTTTTAGCTATTTCTCTGTATTTCACCATGTGACTAATGTGACACCATAAATTATTTAACTATTCTCCTGCTGACAGAATTGAAATTACTTCAAAATTTTTGCTATTTCAAACAATAAATATCTTTATACACGTCTTAGTACATATTTATGAATATTTCTATAGTTATAACAGATATTGTATGTTATGATCCTATTTTGTTTTAAATAACCACACTACCTCTAAATTGTCCAAAAGTAAAGAGTGAAACAAACACACCCTTTTCCATTTCCAGACGTTGTCTTATGCTATGACTACTTCTTAGAATGCCAACACCCTCTTTATATTCTCAAATCCCACCCATCTTTCAAAACCCAACTCAAGTTGCACTTCCTAAGAGATTTCTTCAGTGGTCTCCCATGTCTTTGAATTTGTATAGCCTTATACTTTAAATCATTCATTCTATAACTTAAAAATAAAACGACACTTTAAATGCTCAAATATTTCATATATTCTTATCTTGTCTTCTGAAGTAAATTACTATATTTGGTATAGAAACATGTCACATATTATGTGTCTCCCTTAATTATGCATGAAGTAGGTATTTGATAGACATTGTTATATGAATCCTTTGTTACTTTATTTTAAAAAATATTAACTACTTACTCTGTGCCAGGCATTCATTATGTATATTTGAACTGTGTTTGAATGACCTTGTCCTCGGGGCCCATCCATGAGGATTCATGGACCAGAACTCTGAAAGCAGAATACCTGAACTAAATGCACTGAACACAATGCTCCCTGGTCCAAAAACTGAGCTCGTTGTCTCACAGTTTCATGCTGAAGCACGTTTTTTTGTTTTTGTTTTTTTTGGTGACTCTGTATGATACTATTTTCAGAGAGAAAGCAGGCTGGTCCAGCTTCTCTCTCTTACTTAAGGTTTCTAGCATGGCAAATTAAGGGCTCTAGGATGACCATGAATTCCCTGAAGTGGCACGTAACCAAGGCAGTGTAGTTCACAATGCCAACGTTTCTAATATGGCATACAACTATTTAGCAGCAGAGTGAGGAACTAGTTTGCAAACAAAATTGTCCAGTCGAGGAAATTCTGCCTTTACAGGGAATAGCACTGCAACCCATTAAGGACTTCAAGAAGACAGTAGACACCAATGATGAGTGCTCAGAGAATGATGTGTGACCACACATTTATGCAAACCACCTCGTCTTGTGTCCAGCCAGGAAAAAAAAAAATCTGTTTCCTGTATTTTCACAGATCTTATGTTATTAATGGTAGCAACTCAAAATTATATAGTACTGTGAGCTTGTCAAAGAACTCTCTCATCTATTTGTCATTATAATGTACTTTTAAAATATCATTATATCTACATGGTAGATGAGAAAGCCGAGGCAACAGAAAGGTTAAATGGCTTACTTACAGGATCATAGTTAGTTGGATAGGGAATTAGGATTAAACCATTTTTATTGACTGTAAAAACAGCCGCTGCTTTCCCCTAGGCTTTATTTCCATGCAGGGAAGTATTTTAATTGAAGAAGAGTCTCAGCTCCTAATTAGGAGTTATCTTGGTGAACACTTATTGGCTGCTGAGCCCAAGAAGGCACAATATTTTTTCTGACTTGAAGAAAGCTTAACATCTGGTGGAAGAGACAAACTAAGTTTATGTGAAAAAAAATAAGGGTGAAGAAGTCATGAATTCTGAAATAAAAACTGATCAGAGCCAATCTCTAATACTTTATGTCGCTGTACGTAAACAGAAATGATCTCTTGAACGGTAGTAGAGTTTTCATGATGTGTGCCAAATCTATCATAGATAGGAAAAGTAATGATAAACAGTGATGGTTTACCCAAGGTCACTCAGGTTATGTATGACAGATCAGGAACTAACCCCTGGTTTTCTGAATATTAGTCTACTTTCTTTCTACCTTAGCACAGAGGCTGGAGTTCTTTCTTATTTCAATCCTTATTTCATTCATTTATAAAGATTTGGCATGAATGTGTCCTAATAGTTAGAACTCAGTTAAAATTAAAATTGTCTTTTAAAAAAATAAAGTACAAAAAAGTTAAAGTACAATTTCTCTCTATGCATATCTTGCTGAATTATCTCTTCTGTATAATTAAAAGTTCTATGCACAGACTGCTGGATCAAAAAGAAAAAATTATCTATTCACCTTTCCTATATTTTTCTTGTTTTTTTTTTTTTTAAAGGAAAATAAGAGATGGACAGGAAGTTGTTAAAACAGAATCTCAAGCATCCCAGACTTACAGTAATATTGAGAGCACATTTCTGGCACTACTTTATGATGAATTAAAATCAATTACATTTCTAAGCTACAATTTGGAACAGAGTTTCAGGGACCAATCTCAACTCCTGGTAAAAAATTAAGTTGTCTGATCTTTTCATAACCTTTATGAATCTGGTCGGAGAGACAATATTTTGAACCTGATGAGAATATAACATTATTTATTTCCTGATGACATCCTCTTTTTTTTTTTTTTTAAATTCTCATTTACCAAACTTCTCTATTTTCCAGAAAATCAAAGACTATGAGGCATCATCCATTGGCGTTCGAATGCCCAATGACATTTTACTTCATTTTATTATTTTGATAGCTGAGGTATATGCATTACCAGTCTGCACACAGAATAATTTTATCATGTTTCCCAAATGTGATTAGAAATAAGCCAATTCTTTTCCTTAGGTCAGGTGTCGGCAAAGGTTTTTTTTTTTTTTTTTTTTTTTTTTTTTAAGTTGCTGACTGGCACAATTTATCCTTAAACACTGACCTTAATCAAAGTCTTCTAGTTCCTTTTTTTTTCTTCTGTCTGACCTAAGTCTAAATCCTTTCTTCTAAATACTGATCAAGTAGCTAATATAACTAAAAATATACAGGCCAAAAATTTTTAAAGCATATTTATATTTAGTGAAATATAATGAGGTTTAATGAATAATAAACTATTTTTAAAAAAGTTAAGACCTACACAAGTCAGAAAAAATAAAATTCATATGCAAACAGTGTATTTCAGGTTAAAATAAAATTCATATGCAAACAGTATATTTCAGGTATGTATATATATATATAAATCTAGCTATTTTATTTCATTAAAAATAGATTCCATGTTTTAAGGTACATATCATTTAATTAATAAATTCCTACAATAGTATTTCTTCTGGGGGAAGATAAAAACCCAAACAAAGATAATTTTTGCTTAAAAAGGGCACTAACTTAAAGTTAGGAAAATAGGGCATTAAATAAGAACATATGAACAACAACAAAAACAATTCAAAACCGCACAAGAGCAGGACTAGTGAGGCTTTGTACTGAAAGTCTCGCCCTGAGCCCAGGCACCCGTCTTTGTCAGGAACCCCTATTTAAAGTACAGATCACTGGGGTACTTGTCATTGGACCTAATGTCCCATAGAGAAGGTCTCTCTAGACACCAAAGGAAGATCATTCTAGAAGTAAATGTTAAAAGATAGTGGTTTCCTGAATCCCTTCAAGGCAAGAAATCACCTAATCATTCAGGGACTGATACGATCAGATTTCTTTACATTCGGAGAATATGATTTGGGTCCCAAAGACGTTGACTTATTCAGTAAAGAAAGTACAATTAGGAAACATGATCCTTAGGAGCTGTTTCTTCTAACAGCATGTAAAAGAATGCGGACTTTTCCACAGCCCGTCCTTTCTCTACAGATCTAGCCTCCTATTTTGCCACTCTAGGAAATCATCAGAACATCAGACTAAAGTGTCCTTTGACACCATCTATCATCAGATATTCAGTTTAGCATAACTTTATTTTTGACAGAAATAGAACAAAATAAATGTAAAACAAGAAGCTACCTTCCCCAACTCAAATTGGTATCTGATGGACTCTTCAACTGAAAGCTGAACTGAGTTATATTTTTTAAGAAATATTTTAATGTTATTTGCTGATTAATAATATAAATTGATAATAAAATTAACAATAAAATTGCTCAATATTCCCATACACTTTGTTATATGGGAGGCTGCAAGACCATAACTCATCCACTTCTGCTAAAAGTGCACACCATATTCTGTTTTATTCACCTATACTGTGAAGTTTGTCGAGAGCTGTTGCTGTGAATTGCAAATTGCTTTTCCTTGTGTTTCTCTGCATTTGATTCCCAATCTTCCCACTTTGCAAAAGTGTGTCGACTTAACTAAGAGTGCTACCATGATTAAACTTCATCTTAAGAACATGAAGAGTAGGACTGGGGTTAAAATAGAAAGTTAGTATTGGGGCTTGAGTCATTGCAGCACCTCTCCTTCACCTCAGCCTCCTCCCCATGAAAGCACGGTGTGATGTGACCTCATATAGAGGACACTACTCATCCTGGAAAGTCAATGGTCATTTGAGGACAAGCATACTTCCTGTATCTGCTGGGAAAATGAAGAGTTACAATAAAATACTAGCTGTCTTTCACTGGATGCCTATTAGAAAGGTTAAAAAAGTTTAAGCACACTACAACTGGATTATTTAGAAAAAATACTGATTTATTTATTTTTTATATAACTAAACTCA